TGTTAAGGATAGAAGAAGGAAAGCTGTTTATTACTTATTCTCTCGAATCTCTCACTACTGCATCTTCTATAATTAGATTACCCTAGACTCCTCTCTTTGTACAAGTATATATGTGTATGTACATTCTCAATAATAATCACGATACATACTTTACACAGTCTTGTCCAAGATACACCTCAACTCCTATGGACAATTTACTTAGGACAAGACTGGACTAGTAAAAATCTTATCCATGGAAGATGATGTGTATTTTGGATAAAGTTGTGCCAAATTCGTGAGGACAATTCTTTTAGAACATCAAAGAGTAGAAAACACAAACGGAATCAACAAACGAGAGATGAAAGAGCTTTCTCGGTCTTCAGTTTGAGGAATATGAGATATGGTGAATTTTTGAGTTTACATCGTAGATAAAGAGTATCGAGGGCTTTAGGTTAAGTGGTATATCTTTGTAATTCATAAATAATATTAGGGGTATGTTTGCCTTTTACAGATTTAATCTTAACCATTTTAATGGCAACCCCGAATTTAATTGGAGACCAGAAAAATAAGACGGGAAACACAGCGTCTGATCGTAGTGTCTGTTCGGAACAGAGCTTAAGACCAACCCCAATGGTCATCTCTAGGGGTCTAACGAAGGGATCTTAATAATATAATTGAATAAAAAAATTGTGAAGAGTGTCTAATGTTTAAGATCATGGTCTAAAATAAGATCTTTTTTTTTTTAGTTAAGAACAGACACCTGTTAAGATATGAGTGAACAAAGTTTCTGACACCTAAAATAAGATCTTTTAATTCCAGTTTCTGAATTGCACTTCTATAATATACTAGATATAGACCCTTGTGTTACATATGTTTTTAATTTAAATTATTAATTTAAGTTAAAGTTATAATTTTTTAATTTATTTTGTAAAATTAAGTAGTTCTTTTTTATTTTATTTTTGTAAAATTAGTAGTTATTTTTATTGAATACCAGAAATTAATTGACTTTAAACACTAATAGACTAATATATGATTAATAAATTAAATTTAGTTATGCACGTGTCGATAATTTAAATTAAGTAAAAAGACAATGTTAATATGTAACACACCGTAATAATATTAGACAATGCTATTAATGTAATAAAACTAAACTAATACATGATTATACGCATCAAAATGCAAACACTTGAAAAGAAAAAAAACCCTCACAAAACAAAAAAAATAGCTCATAAATCACATAACCACTCGTCAAACAAACATAACGTAGTAACGTAACTCAACTAATGCATGATTGTATAAATAAAGTTGAAAATCGTTGAACTAATTTTATTAACTAAAGAAAGATAATTTGAAAATCGTTGCAAAAAAAAAAACTAAAGAAAGAAATAAAATATACCAACTAAAATAAATTTGAAGAAGAATTATTTTGCTTGATGAAAAATTGTTAGAGATTTTTTTGTTTATATAGATATATGAATATTCTTTTCTCTTTTAAGATCAGTTCAACAATTTTTTGACAAAGATCCATTTACTACCAACTTAACCAAAACTAATTCTTATTAGTGATCAGTACCAAAACCAGCGTTGACAATGAAAACATGGCATTGAGGTACTGATTAGAGACTAGGTCCCCGATTGGTACACTAACTGTGAAGACTGTATAATGTTTCACAGTCTTAAAAGTAAAACAATCACACTTTTATGGTTTTACAATTTTAACAGCCTCTAAAATCACTTTTTCTACTTTTCTCTTTCCTCTCTTCTTTTTCTTTCGTTATGTTTTAGTTTTTGTTACTTTAAAATTTAATTATCTAATACAAATAAATAAAATAACAAATTGTTTCTTCTTTCTTTTCCCCAAAATATTAAAAATCATTCGCTCATATAAATTTTATAACAAATATACTTTGATTAATTAATTATTTATATTTTTCTCTTTCTTTTGAGATCTAATTTACCATCTAAATTTTTAATTTTTTAAATTATTCGTGTTAAAATTTTAAAAGTTCAATAAAAATAAAACTTTATTTACTTCACATATTTATATTTATATTTATAATAAAATTAAAATATATAATTTATATTTGAGATAAAAATATATTTTTCTAAAAATTATAATACATAAAAATAACAGTCACAGCTTTTACAATCTAACAATTGGCGTTGATGCTGTAGAAACTGTAGGAAGTGGGACAGTCTTCACAGCTTTTATTTTATCAATCATGCTTTTACTACTTTTATTCATTTTAAAGTTTCCACAGTCAATTTTAGTTTTTCTCATTTCTTTTGTATTGTTTTTTTTTAAAGTCTCTTAAAAGTGGCTGTGAAAATCAATTTTTTTTAATTTTCTTTTTCTTATTAAAAAAGCATTTTCTTCTTCTCATAATAACTAAAATCTATATCTAAATCTATATTGATTATCACAACTTTTTTAGATAGATTAATCATTACACTTTTTTCCTTCTTCTTTTAAAATCCATATCACCATATTTTACATCACTTTATTATTACTAGATGAGTATCTGCGCGATGTGCGGATTATTTTCCACAATTCTCCCTCTATTTCAGAAATAGTGTCATTTTGACAATTTTCACACAAGTTATGAAACTTAATAAAAAGTCTTTTTTGTCATTTACAAATACATTAAACAGTTTTCTCTTTCTAATTAATGCACTAAAATAACAAGGTTAAAATTTGATTTTTAATTAAAAATTTGCATTGGAAATATAAAACGACACTTTTTGTGAAACAAAAATAAAACTCTAAAACGACACTTTTTATGAAACATGAAACGGAGGGGGTATAATTTATTAAAAAATGTAGTTACAATTTATTTTATCGTATATTTAAAAAAAAATTAAAGGATATTGTGTATTTGAATAAACATACAATACATATTTACATATTATGTGGATATTAACTATATATGTGATAAATGGTTTATTGATAAGGAAATATAAAATATATTATACCTTATATATAATATATTAAATAGATATAGTGCAAATCTGAGAAGTACTATATAACAAAAATTAATTAGAGAAACTCTTCAAGCACAACATAGATAGAGATGAGTCTTTTTAACAGGTTGTACTTGTTTACAGCGTAGATTTACAGAATAGCAATGCCGTGGTTTTATATTTGTATGAGCTTAAATAATTGATTTATAATTCTAATTAATACAGCTGTATTAAATATTTTATAAATAAATATATTAGGACTTTGATATCTTACTAATTTTAAAATTATTAATGGATCAATTTTGAATAAAATAAATTATTAAATAATTATTACTTTATAAAGAAATTGTTTTAAAGTTTATTATAATATTGTATAAATTTTTCTTCTTACTTTTTAAGGTTCAAAATATCAAATAATTATTATTTTTGAATTTTTATAATTTTTTTATAATAATAACTTATAATATTAATTAAAAATAAGAAAACACTCTTAAATATAAAACATAAATTTTTTTAATGTTTTTTAAAAACTACCACAAAATAGATATTCAATAATTGTTTGGATATTAAGTATATATTTTTATTAAAATGTATTATCTAATTCTTCATATTTTTCATATTCTTTTAGTTTATGATTAATAATACATTAAATTTATGTATTAACTGTATTTTACATAATTTGTATCATTAAAATTTTAAAAATGACACATGTCATTTCTACAATAAACTAAAATGATGAGGTGGCACTCATATGGAGAGAGTTGGCCATCTTTTATATTATAGATGTTGTCTTTAGTATTATAAATTAGAAAGTATGGAAAATAGGAATAAACCACAGTTTTTAATTATTTTTATAATAAATAAAATTATTACTTATTGATATTTTTTTGTCTTTTTTATGATTCATTTTTCCAAATAACTAATCAATTTTATTTTTTTTGTTATGCATGTAAAAAAGTTTAATAAAAGATCAAAATTATTTTTTACATATTGATATTCATAAGAAATTAAAATATAACACTTATATTTTAGAAAAATAATTTTTTTACAGTCACAATTTTTACAGTTTCTTGTTATCAATCAAATTTTTAAAAATATATAAAATAACAGTCAAAGTTTTTAGAGTCAAAATTTTTACAGCCAAAAGTTTACAGTCACAGCCTACACTTACAGTTATTACTAATCATAATTTTAAAATATATAAAATAACATTCATAATTTTTACCGCCAGATTTTATTCAATCAAAAGTTACAATCACAACCTATAGTCACAATTCTTACAGCGGTAAAGTAATATTATAATCTAATTTTGAAATTTATGTGAATAGAATCTCTCAGCTATTCAGATATGGGATCAAAAAATTGAAAACGAATTTCTTTGTCAAGCACTTGCTGTATAGTAAGATGTCTTTATCTTCCCTAATACTTTTTTTTTTGGTTTTAAAAGTCACAGTCAATAAAGTCTACAGTCAAAAAAATTACAGTCTATAATTCTAAAAGTCTTAACAGTCTATAACCAACCTGAGTCTGAATCAATGTTATTCTAACAAGTAATCATACCGGTGACTGTAAGTTATGTAAATAAAGTAAATAGTTATTTTGTCATAAAAACGTATGTAAATTCAAATGAATTTCTCCCGCAGGCGGGGTCATAAATTCACATCCGGAGTTATGAAATCCCCAGGACTAATAATGCACCTGGGTTGTATTAGTCAGGAACTGGGCGGTAAAGTAATATTATAATCCAATTTTGGAATTTTATGTGAATAGAATCTCTCCGCTATTCAGATATGGGATCAAAGAATTGAAAACGGATTTCTTTGTCAAGCACTTGTTGTATAGTAAGATACCTTTATCTTCCATGTGACCGATCCCTTTGAACCCGATTTGTCTTTGATAGATTAAAGAACATACTGAACAATAAACCCCTAATTTGTAAATTGCGTACATTATTTTTTATGTCAAGTATATATATATGTAACGTCTCTCAACTGCATCTTGATTTTCTTCGTGAGCGTAGTTCTGACGGTTTCTTCTTCTATATAATAAAAAAAGCAATCTCACATTGAAGAGAGAGAAAGAAAGAAAGAAAAGAGATGTGGAGGTTGAAGTTGTCCGAAGGAGAAGAAGAGAGCGTGAATCAACATGTTGGAAGACAGTTTTGGGAGTATGATGACCAATGTGGAACTTTTGAAGAGATACATCACATCTCCCATCTTCGTTCCAACTTTAATCTCAATCGGTTTCATTCTAAGCATAGTTCTGATCTTCTCTACCGTTTTCAGGTACAACTTGTTCTCATTTTCCTTTCAACTTGATATACTATGAATCTATGCTATACATTATATGCTAAGTTTGACTAGTAAAAGCATATTTTAGTGAAATTTCTATAAAATACATATCTTAGGCCCGGTTCTATGCATGTGCTAGAGGTGCATTTGCACAAGGTCTTTAGGCTTTCTGCAAATTTTAGTTAGATTTTAGGGGTTTTTTAAAAAAATTTAGGGATTTTTTTTGCAAATTTAGTTTTTTTTTTTTGGGCAAATATAAATTTAGTTTATTATACTTATAAATAACACAGGGTCCAATATATTTATGGACCGGGCCAGTATCTTAGATAGCGACTAGGGGTGATATTCGTGGAGAAAATGATCAAACAAATGGGAATTAAAAGGTGTAAAAACTGGATACGCTTTGTTTATATGGTACGATTTTGAAAATCAGCGGTATATTATGATTTTGTTAATAAAGGTATCAAATGTTGGGTTGATGTGAAACCTTGAACTTGAACTTTAGTGTTCGAAAGAGAAAGTAAGAGGAAAGGAGAGGCTTCCACAAGTGAAAGTGAAAGACAGAGAAGGAGAGATATATGAAGAAGTGGTGAATGAGACACTAAAGAGAAGTTTGAGATTCTACTCAACACTTCAATCAAAAGATGGCTTTTGGCCTGGTGACTATGGTGGCCCTTTGTTTCTCTTGCCTGCTCTGGTAATTCTTTAAAATGCATAAAAAGAATTTTAAAAGTGGTAAATTAAAAAGAAAAATTAAGTCGAAAATTTGTAGTAGTACACGGCTTAGAAAAAGCTTAATTAAAATAAAGCTCACTCACATGACTCACACATCATCCATCCCTTTCCATCTAAACTCATACCGATCTTGATTTTGGCGTCAGGTGATCGGCTTATATGTGACAGAAGTTTTAGACGAAACTTTAACTACTCAACATCAAATCGAGATTCGCCGTTATCTCTACAACCATCAGGTTTCATTCCTATGACTATATTGAACCAATCCTTTTGTTTCAGTGATGTGTTTGAAAAGAAATCTTAAGGCCAAAAATAAATTAAAAAAAACAAGAAAAAATACTCCAAAATGACCTAAAATGATAAAATAATGTAAAATAGATATTTTGGAGAAAATTGTGAAAATAAGCTCATTTTACGATTTTTATAAGTATCAGTCCTACCTTTCTAAGATTTCTTAGAACATCTCCAGCGGTTAGCAACCATCGGAGTATCTAAAAAAGAAAAATATTAGTTTTTAAATAATGAAAAAAATCTAAACCAATCATAAAAGCACACATATTAAATGAGTTTGTTAAAAAGCTTACAAACGTTCTTTGTTTAATCAACTTCGGAAACGGTTTCTCCTTCTTTCTTTAACTTTCATTATTATATTAATATTTTTAGTAAGATACTGAGATAAAAACCCATCGATGGAGATGGTCTTACAATGGGTATGTTGAATAATTTATTCAACAGTTGAATGTATGCAATGAGATGTTGAAACATGTGTTGAAATCTATGTGGAGAAATCAGTGTTGAATTAATTTAACATGCTGAATTCGGTTGAAAAGTAAAAGTAACTGCCACGTGTCTTAATTTGATTGAACCAAAAAATAAATTAGATATTTATATAGAAATAACAATATGAGCTGAATTCTAATTGGTTGTTTAAATTTCTGGTTTTCTTTTTTATCTCAATGATTCAATATTAATTATTTCATAACGAATTAAATATATAAATATTTTTTTATATACCAAAATTTATCAGTTTTCATGTTCTATAAATAGATATTTGGTTCATTTGATTTACACACAAAAAAAATCATCTTTTCTAAGTTTTACAAATTTTTTTATAAACACTTATTTTTAGTTTTAAACTTTCTTTTCTCAAAATGGATCCCAATGATAATCCTTCTTATACCCAAAACACATATGGGCAAAATTCGGAATGTTTAGTGATTAAAGAAAATTTGAAGTATTTTTGTGATTTAAGTGTTTTATTATTTATGAGTTAAGTATTTTTTTGTTAAGTTATGTATGTTTTTTAATTGTGTTGTGTGCTTCTCCGTGTATTGTATTATATTTTAAGTTTTTATAATTTTATTTGTTTTATTAATAATTATTTATTGTTTTTATCTTTTATATAAAATTAAGGTTTTAAAAATAATTTCGTAATTTGTTTATTTTAATCATAATCAATAATTGTTATAAAGATGTAACTATTAGAAGATAAAAGAAAATGATAATATAAAATAAATTAGTAGGGTATGGTGTTGAATTTTATTAAACAAAACCATTGGAAGCAATATAAATTGAATGGGTGTTGAAAGATTAGGTGGAAGAGAGGGATAGTGATGTGGAGTATTAAAAATTGAGGTGGAGGGTGTTGAATCTTTGTAATATTGTACATAGTCTAACTACTGTTAAGTTTAGACTAATGACAGACTAACGCCAGACTACTGGCAGATTACTAGCAGACTGTTTGATCAAATAATTGAATTTATACTATTGGCAGATTAATGCTAGACTAATTGCAAATTACTAACATGCTAACAACAGATTGCAAACAAGCTAGTGGATCTCTTTTATTGATCATTTTAGGAGGGGTCATGTTGTATAATAAAATTATCAAATGAGTTATTTCAAAAATTATCTCTAAAAACAAAAGCACTAACTTTCACAAGAAATAATGTGTAGAATAAGGATGGAGGATGGGGACTACATATAGAAGGGAGCAGCACCATGTTCTGTACAACTCTCTCTTATGTAGCACTAAGACTGATGGGAGAAGAAACGGATGGTGGAGATGGAGCCATGGAAACAGCTAGACATTGGATTCACCATCATGGTGGTGCCACCTTTACTCCCTCTTGGGGCAAGTTCTGGCTCTCAGTAAGTTAACAATAAACACAATCTTGTACAAGTTTTGTGGGAGAATTGTGAGTTGATGAATCTTTGTGAGGTTATGAAACAGGTTCTTGGAGTTTATGAATGGAATGGGAACAATCCTTTACCTCCGGAGTTATGGCTCCTTCCTTACGCTCTTCCCTTTCATCCAGGGCGAATGTGGTGCCATTGCAGGATGGTTTATCTTCCAATGTCATATCTATATGGAAGAAGATTTGTTTGTCATATCAATGGAACTATTGTGTCTATTCGAAGAGAGCTCTATACTGTTCCTTATCATCATATCGATTGGGATACAGCCCGTAATCAATGCGCCAAGGTAGAAATCTTTGTTATTTAAAAAGCAAAATAAACCACACAAAAAATTAATATAATTTGTTTTCTTAGATATAATTTGGCCTTTTCTTGACTTTTTCGTAGTTTTTCATAATTCGTTTCTATAGTTAAACGCATAACTAATATTCTTTGACGAACTAATGATATATAAATGCAGGAGGACTTGTACTATCCACATCCAAAGATTCAAGATATTATGTGGACTTGTTTAAAGAAAGTTGGAGAGCCTCTTCTGGAGGGATGGCCATTGTCTAAGCTCAGAAACTGGGCTCTCAAAAGAGTGATGCAACACATTCACTATGAAGACGAAACCAGTCACTATATTTGTATTGGTCCAGTCAACAAGGTAACTTATTTCTCAGTGATCTAGCAATTGTCTTTATTACTGTTTTTGCTGAAAAATTGTTGGATTGGTATCAAATGTAAGGTCTTGAATATGGTTTGCTGTTGGGTCGAAGCCCCAGATTCCAAAGCATTTAAATGTCATCACTCACGGATAAAAGACTATTTGTGGGTGGCTGAAGATGGAATGAAAATGCAGGTACCATTTTAAAAGACTACTCATCTGTTCTATAATATAAGTTGTTTAAGGTAAAAGCACAAGAATTAAGAAATATATTTTTTCTGTTCAAAAAATATTATAATTCATTCAATTATAAAATTTTATGGGCTACACAATATTCAATAAAGAAAAAAGTAACCTTAAAATATGCAAATAATTTATATTATGAAACAAAAAACAATCTCCAAAACAATTTATATAATGGAACTGAGGGAGTATTTCTTTAATTCAAGTTGAACAAGATTTCAAATGTATAATTTTTTTTCAATCAGGGATACAACGGCTCTCAGCTGTGGGATGTAACCTTAGCGGTCCAAGCAATCTTGGCGACAAATTTGGTTGATGAGTATGGCATGATGCTTAATCGAGCACATAACTACATCAAGAATACTCAAGTATATATGTTCACTTAACTCTATATTATTGTGATCTTAAATACTTAATTAATCTATTGGGTCATGACTTGAAACAGATAAGAAGAAACACGTGTGGAGATCCGGGATTGTGGTACCGACACCCGTCCAAGGGAGGATGGGGTTTCTCCACTGCAGACAATCCATGGCCTGTCTCTGACTGTACTGCTGAAGCCTTGAAGGTTGACTAACTTTGCAACTCTTACAAGTTTCTTTGCTTCATTTATCATATGATTTTTGTTTTTCTTGGAAAACATAATGAAATGTGCAAGTCTCTTACCGTAGGCGGCGTTGCTGCTATCTCAAATGCCAGTTAATATCGTTGGAGAAGCCATGCTTGAGGAGAATTTATTTGATGCTGTTAATAATATCTTATCATTACAGGTATATTTTATTTAGTTTCCGAAATATTTGTATCATATAAACTAGTAATTGTTTTTATAGCCACGAAAAAGCCACATAAAAACCACAAAAAGTCACAAAAAACCTATATACCAAAAAAAAACAAGTCACGATTTGGTTTTTTCGTGGCTTATTTAGTTAGCCACATAAAATTTGTAGCTATTTAGTTATAAGTGTATTTCTTCCTTCCAGAACACCAACGGCGGATTTGCGTCATACGAGCTTACGAGATCATATCCATGGCTAGAGGTTAAATAATTTTGTCCTTATTATGTTCATATTAATTTAAGACACAATAAATAGACTTTGATATCATTATTTGCCTGCATATGCATTAGACGATCAATCCATCAGAGACTTTTGGGGATATCATCATAGATTATCAGTAAGATGAGAATTAGTATTACCTAAATTCCATTTTATACTACATTTTCTTGTTAATGGAGGCTGAAAATCTATAGGTACGTAGAATGCACATCAGCTGCAATCCAAGGCCTCATGTTATTCACAAAGATCAATCCAAGTTACAAGAGAGAGGAGATACTAAGATGCATCAACAAAGCAGTTGAGTTTATTGAGAAAACACAACTTCCTGATGGTTCATGGTCAGTATTTAGTAGTTGGTCATTACTTTCATACATGCATGTTGTGATTTCTTCAACAGAAAACACAAAAACATTTCAGGTACGGCTCCTGGGGAGTTTGCTTCACTTACGCAACATGGTTTGGGATTAAAGGGATGTTGGCTGCTGGCAAAACATATGAGACCAATCTTTGTATTAGAAAAGCTTGTGATTTCTTTCTATCCAAACAACTTTCTTGTGGTGGGTGGGGAGAGAGCTACCTCTCATGCCAAAACAAAGTTTACACAAATCTTCCCGAGAATAGATCACATATTGTGAACACATCATGGGCACTTCTAGCTCTCATTGAAGCAGGACAGGTCAGATTTAATTCTCTATAAAATCCTTTTTTTTTTTTTTTAATAGAAATTGTGATGCCATGGGCGTACTTAATCCATGCTACGAGTTTGAACAGGCTAGTAGAGATCCGATACCATTGCATCGTGGGGCAACATTGCTGATCAACTCGCAGATGGAAGATGGAGATTACCCACAACAGGTGAGGAGAAATGGTTTATATGAGTAGGCATGATTTTTCTTGATACATTTGATTAATCACATTTTTTTTTTCATATTTGTTAGGAGATACTGGGAGTCTTTAATAGGAACTGTATGATCAGTTACTCAGCTTACAGAAACATTTTCCCCATTTGGGCTCTAGGAAAATATCACAGTCTCATATTGTCTTCGTCTGTATGATTAGTTACACAACTTTGTCTATGTTGGCACAAAGACCATGTAAAAATATAGGCATGTCTTAGGTTTCTCAAACCTTCACCAGTCCTACGAGTCTGAGCTGCTTCGGCTATCTCCAATATGTATTTTACTTTATAACTTCTCTATCTAGTAAGGAATAAATTTGATACTCTAGGAATGATATTTGTATATTTTACATTCTTTAGATTTCCTTTTGATATGATTGTATCTTGCATAAATAGAGACCTTTAGGTCAGTAAATCAATATAACATAATCTTCTCTGACACTATCGTCCATGGCCAGCGTTTGGTTCCATAGCCATCTGTTTTGTAACACTCACCTCTTTTGAAACCAAGATGGCATGTTAAAATGCATAAGCTTTTACAGCAAAAAAACTATTTCTTAATTCAATGCTATTTTTATTTCAAAAGATTGTATCCAAATATTTTACAAAGACCATTTAACTTAAAACATTAAATCCAAATTAAAATAATAATGTTTTAAAAATAAATAGAAAGAAAAAAAAATTTCAGTTCTCCCAGAAACCATTACCAAACCGATTGACTATTCCTGAATGTTTACACGTTTACCTGGAAATCGTTTCCATTTTGGAAACACGGTGAAAATTTATATTTATTTTTTGTAGTAAATAAATTAATCATATAATATATAAAAGTTGATGGCATAGTGCATTGAGAGCGTTCACATGGGATAAAGAAACTCGATCTGATTGGTCCACATCAGTATATTTATTAAAAAAAATGTTAAGTATGGTTAAGACGGTCCACATCAGCTTTTAAATCAAACCAAAAATTATTAAGTATAATAAAACATTAAAAGTTAATTTAACAAATTATGTCCAACAAAAAAGTAAATTCAATCTGATTGATCTAAATCAACATATTTATAAAATAAAAAATTTTAATATGGTTTAAAAATTTAAAAGTTAAATAAAAAAATTAACAATTAACAATACATGTATAAAAAAAGTAACCATTATCAATTATCAATTTAAAAAAATTCACAACAACTCGATTTAATAATTAAATAATAAAAACTGATTAAAAATGTTAAGTATGATTAGGACAGAAAAACTTAATTTAATTGGTCCACATAAGCTTTTAAATCAAACCAAAAATTATTAATAATAATTAAAACATTAAAAGTTAATTTAACAAATTATGTCCAACAAAAAAAAATATTCAATATGATTGATCCAAATCAACATATTTATTAAATCAGAAAATGTTTATATGGCTTAAAAATTAAAAAAGTTAAATAAAAAAATTAACAATTACCAATACATGTATAAAAAAAATAACCATTATCAATTATCAATTTAAAAAAATCTACAACAACTCGATTTAACAATTAAAACAATGAAAACTGAATAAAAATATAACATAAAACTCTTGGAAGACATGATGGAGAAGGAAAAAATAGTTTTGCATGATCATTACAGCTTCCTAACAAAACTAAATGCGAATCAACATGAATCATGGATTATATATATAGTGGTACACAACATCAATAAGACTTTCAATAAAAAAAACTATATATTTGAACACATAAACTTTCAAGAAAAACAGAACTATATAAATTCTATGGAAAACAGAAAATAATACCAAAATCTTAGCGAGATTATATTTCACTAAATCAAATATATATTTACGTCAAAGTTGGATAATTCGATAGGTGTCATTGTTATTATTTTACCTAATAGTTTTTTAAAAATTTATAAATAAAAATAGGATAATTTACACAATATATATTAACTTCTCTTATATATATAAAATTTCTATAAATATATTATATTTTTAATAATTTTAAAATTAGTAGCTAAAAAAAATTAAATCAAAATATTAATACAGATTCGCGCGTAACGCGAGTTATATATCTAGTATTTATAAAAATAAAATTAAATGATCAGTGTGATTATATAAAGGTTAATAATTAATTTAAATTATTATAATAAGGTAATAATTATTTTTGATTCATTAGATGAGACTAATATTGATATTATTGAGTTTAAAATTATTTTTTTAAAATCAATTAGAATTGGATTAAAATTAGATGGTTAATGAAAATGATGTTGAATAAAAGAGATAATTACACCTACACACACTTTTTCAATCTTCTTTTACACATTAACACACTTTAAACTGTTAACACACTTTCTCTATTTGAAAAGACAATACTATCATTCACACAAGTTACAACTGATTGGTAACAAATGTTTAATTTTATACGTTCGCTGTTAATTTTTATATTTCAGTGCAATAGAAAGAAAAAATCTTCTTTATCTAAGAGAACCCTCATCTCTTCACTCTGCCTCTTTCATTTTTCAGCAATTATCGAACAGTGTCGCCGATGACAATAACTCCATCTCCTAAAAACTCTGCATTTTTCATTTTTCGGCAACTATTGAACAGCGTCATCGATGATAATAACTCCGACCAAACCGCACCGCTTCAGTGCCACCACACTTGACAAAACCAGGTCTACATATACATATTTTAAACAGATCTACTCATTCTTTACCAGATCTACAAGATGGCAGGTAAATATGTAGTTATGTACTTTAAATTTCAATAAATCTCGAATAATTGACCCCCTTATTGTCATGTTACAGTTACAACTTGCCACCATCGTTCATGAGTAGAGATCTTCGAACTATGTCCACTCTTGTTTGTCCATGTTGATAGCTATCAACATCGTCTCCATTAATCTTAGAATAGTGATGTCCATGAAGATGTGTCCATTCGGGTAAATTGAATTTCAAAATTTCCATGAAGATTCAGTTTAAAATTAGCGATGTCCATGAAAATATGTACATGGAACTATATTCATCTACTCTGACGTTGTACATGAAGATGTAGTCATGGGTCTATGTCCATCTAAAATTCAGTTTAAAATTCTATCTATTAGCGATGTCCATGAAGATGTGTCTATATTCATTTAAAAGTGTACATACTTTGGTAGCCATTATGGATATAAGACATCAATATATTTGTGTCAAATAGTTTTCAAATGCTGAATATTTCGATTCTAGTCTTGTTTTCATTTCAATTGTCATCTCTGTTTGAAAACATTATTATTTGTTTACTGTAAGTGCAATCTTTTTAATTTTAAGAATGTACAGTCTCGTATAGACCAAAATATAATAAAAATATACATTTACAGGTTGTTGATAGATGAATTTCGTTTAAAACAAAATAAGATGGATGAATTTTGTAGTGAACAAAATAAAATGAATGTAAAGACATGTTTGAATGACCAAATAAAATGGATGCATAGATATGTTCGAATGGTAAAATGGATATCTGGTTCTTAAAATCGAGACTGCTGAAAGCTATTGTACGGTTCATCTCATTTATCCATATCATGTCTAGTTCATGCTCCTTGTTCGTGGACTATGCTTAGTGGACAGAGCTTTATGGACATATGCATATACAACTACCATTTATCTGTAACATAGCAAATTTGCTAGATTTTAATTAAATTTGTGTTGTTTCTGTACTGGTTGTAGACTGTGCTTTGTGGATAGCGTTTCATGGACACCAATAGATTTATGTCCAAATGTATGTACAAAACATAATGGACAATGACCGTGTACACTTTCTCATAGACACACTCTTAATTAGGTTCTAGAGCAAATGCAATCTTATTTCATTAATACAAAAAGAAATTGTAATCAAGGAGACATCCATTTTTTAGTTGGTTTGTTATCCACCATATCACATCAATTTTGTCCATATGGATATTTTCGTATAGATGTTGTCATGTGGACAGAATCAGAACTAAAAATCTCTTTAATCATCGATTTTGGCTTTTTGGTTGGAATTGTTATCCATCACACACTATCCATTTCCAATTGTCCATCGCTGCATCCATCCATGTCGTTTCTTTATTTTTTTACATTTTACATACCTGTCCACGCACCTTCATCCATAGGCAACATTTACAAGCCTGCTGCATAGTTCCAAATATACGTGGATCCATAGAAACTCTATACACAAGAAATGAAGTTTATATGTTTCTCAATTTTAACTTGTATCCATGAAACAGTGTCCACGGGGCTTCGCACATATGAATTATTGTATTTTGAATTTGTGGACGATTTATCATGGACATAATGATCGAAAAAATTCTCAAATGAGTCTTCAGATGAAACTGTGATATAGGAGAAGATTGTCTACCATCAAAAACCTGTTCATGCAAATCTATCCACGGAAACCTCTCTACAGAAACCATATTCATGCAAATGTTTCCACAAAAGTTTTTCCACGAAAACTTATCCACGCAAGCTTGTCCACAGAAACTCTCTATACGGACAACCTATTATTTGGCTCACTTCATCATTTTCTCCGCTTCCAAGCAAAAACACAATCAGATCTGAATCGAAACAACCCACTTGGTTCAATTTACAAATACAGATATAACAACAATCCAAACTCTGCAAAATCAAAAGAACATCATCCTCAAATCTTATATTTGAGAAATTTGATATCCAAAAAAAAATTATTTGACAACTTCAAGATCTTCAGATTTCTTTACACATGCTTTATATCTATTACAGAATTTCATACATATTAAGATGTTGACAAACTAAAATACATCTGAACTAAAAATATAGTAGGCTTTTGATTTTACTGACCAACCCCCATTACCACCATCATTCGTGATTCATTTGCAACAGAAAGTAAAAAAAAAAATTAACTATAAAAAAGAAGGACAATAAAGAAAATCTGGAGTACAAAAATTATAAAGAAGTGTGCCAATAGTCAATAAGTGTCTAAACTGTAAACAAAGTGCCAATAAGTGTCTATCAGTGTAAAAAAATTTTGAAAAAAAATCTTCTAAATGTTTGACTTTAAACATTATAATTATAATATTATTTAGATATTTAATATATATATTATATACAGTAAAACCTCTATAAATTAATAATGTTGGGACTCTCAAATTTTATTAATTTATAGAGTTATTAATTAATCGATAAATTAATAATTATTAATTTATCGATAATCTAATATTTTATTAATTTATAGTGATATTTTTAGTTTGAATTTTTAATATTTATAAAAAACAAAATCAATATTTTCAACAATGTAAAATTCATTCAAACAATATCATAATGATGAATTTAGAAGATAAATCAAACAAATTTTATACACTTGAAGCAACAATATTATCATAGTTTACTATATTATATTATTAATATATACCAAAATATATAATTATTAATTTATATTATTATTGAGATCATATTTTTACATAGAACTTTCAAAAAATATTATCTTATTATCTTATCGAATTTTATCAATTTTTACACTAGCCCGACTTGGGACCGGTAAAAATTATTAATTTATAATGATTATTAATTTATCGAGTATTAATTTATAGAGGTTCTACTGTATACATGTTTTCAAAATGTTTTCATTTCTATATTTTTAAAAATTTGGCATTTCCATGCAACATGGATCTACCTAACTAGTTTTTTTATTAAAATTCTTTGAATTTTTGGCAGTATATATGAGAAAATGATCTAAAATGTGGAATACTGAGAAATAATTTTCCACGTAAATTACCCAATGAGACTCATGATTGATTCATTCTGTTTCATTTCACCTTTTTGGTCTCGAAAAAGATACCATCAGTACTCTTTGACCCAATGAATCTTTAGCAGTGTTTATGTAAACCTCCAACGTAGAGACACCAATTCAATGCCCATGTCATCTCAAGTCTCAAAAAGAAAACATCAGTATTGTTGTTGATCCAGTGACCATTTAAATGAGACTTCTCAATCTCTGTACAGAACAAAGTTGGCCATGTCGTTAAGTCCAGCTTCTTTGTAGCACTGAGCAACCCGTTCCAGTGACTCGTCCCATGTCCCTTCAAGTGACGCTAGATCCAGTAATAACCCAGCCTCGTCGAAATATGCCTGAACAAATAATTACAAGTTTTGTTTCACTCCTCTTGTATCCAAAACCATATGATATGATGAACACAAAGCAAAAGAAACGAACCTGTGCTCTTGGCTTTCCCCTCTCTATATCATGTTTTCTTCCTTCTCCTGTAACTTTCTCTTTGTACTGCACAATTTTCTCTTCTCCGTACTCTGCTATTTGTGCCATTTCCTGTGCAACCATTTCATATGTTGGAACACTTCTTCTCTTCTCTTTATAATAAACGAAATGTTTTAACAAACTGTACCTCGTATCTGCATCCTAAGGTCCACCATGAAGATTTCAGAGCACCTCTAGCTGCGTCTTTCGCTTCTAAGCTACGACCAAGTCTACATAACCACAGAGGTCTTAGAGTTTTCTAGAAATGACTACGTAGATTCATTTATAAGTGAGAAAGAGAGAGGATCATACGAACTTCAGCAAAACCTTTGCGTTGAAAGCAAAAGGCCGGGCGAATCCAGGGAAGTTTCCTCTCTTTGTGTAAAACTCGGCAGCCACCAAAGCTGAAACCTTGTATTAGCAAGTGAAGGTAATTAAAAAAAAAGGAGAAAAACAAGTACGACTACTACAGGATTAGATGTTGTTACTAGCCTTACATGGTCTCCATTCTCGATATGTCTAATAACTTTGCGTTCTAGAGAATCCGGAAACAGTCCAACCTGAATAGCCAAAGCTAATAATCATCCCAAACATTCATGGTGCCAAAAAGTAAAACGTTCCATGTGCCAAAAAAGGTACCTTTCTTAAAAGATAGACATCTAAATCCATCAGTCTTGACTTGGCAAAGTCACCTTTACTGTAAAGTTTCTTCCCTGCTTCACCTGCAGCATCGAAGATCTCTTGACTAGACTCTTCGGGTTTGGTAACATCTTCTTCCACCAATATTCTGTGAATGAACTGATCGACCTGAATTGACCAATGAAGTCAGATATGAGAATGAACATCCAGTTATTAAAAAGCTAAACAGAAATGAACCTAAAACCAACGTATCTCATTACATTATTGGCTAAAAACCAAACCCCATGTTTCTGAACTTCTACCACAGGCATCTCCATACTGAAAACACCAGAACCAATGCAATGATAAGATTTGAAAGAAGCAACAGAAGAGAAGCATAGCGATAGAAACGAGCCTCTGACCTAGAACGAGCTGTTGGCCACCGTAGTAAAGCAATTGAAGAACCTGAAAATGAAAGATAAAGTCACACAAAATGAAAGATCTGAATGCAGGCGCTTCAAACTCAGATAAAGACTTGTGTGCATATCCATAACCATACCGGGACTCATCCTCACCAATGGAATCGTAAGAGGCAACAAGCCTTGCTTGGCACCAGGAGAAACTACGGATTTGCCTGATACAATGTCATCACATAACCATCATCACAAGCCAAGTCAACAGTTCTACAAATCACACAGAGATTACTTCGATATACACCAGGATTCAAGCTATGCCTAACATGTAAGATCAATCTACCTCTAGCTTTGAATATGCTCAGCAGCTCAGTAAGATGCTTAGGAGGCTGAGCTTTGGCTATGTCCTTGATGAAAGATTCATGGTCTGCGCAAAATGGATATGAATCATTTATTGGTGTTTCAGTTCATATTCAGCTTCAGAAGATTCAGTTCAACATTCGGAAACCGATCTTAAGCCATCATTTCCAGAAGATGAATTAAAAATCGCGAAAATGTGAATCATACGAAGGGGAAAATACAATCACCAGATAATGGAGTAGAAGAAGACGAAGAAGAAGAGCATAAGGATCTGGCGGCGAAGTCTCTGCCTACACGAAGTATCAATCCGCGTCTCCGCCCGTTAACCACCGCGCCGTAATGCATCTTCAAGTTTTTCCGATCGCCGTGCCGTTTCTCTTCCGATGTGGTGAAACAGAGAAAATGAGGATGAGTGTTTTTCTTTTGAGAAAAAAAACCCCAAATAAAGCCCAGATATTAGGGTTTAAGAGCCCATTCTGAGCCCAACAACGTTAAATTAGTCAACTTGGAAATAGAAACCAGCAGATTCATCGATACCGGCACCATCGCCGGGGACGTTTCACCGGAGAAACACTTTTCCGATATACAGTAGATATTTCAAATCGATCTGCCACGTCGCTGTTTTCCCACCAACTTTATTTTATTTTTATTTTTAATCAAGACAAAAAGTTCCTAATTTCACGCTTCCCAATTCGTAACTACTGTTATTGTTCTTTAAAAGCATTTGAACGTTTCCTCTTAATCGGGTTTCTAATCTGAAGAAGATTTTTTTTTAAAAAAAACAATAAAAACAAAATCGAAGATAATTCTAGTTTTTAGGGTTTATACGACCCGCCAAATTCATTCTCTCCTCCGACATTCCCGATTCGCGACCCGGATCCTGACCCGAACCCGCATTTTCCTCGGTTCCGATCTGGCTCCTTGACAATGGCGTCGGGAGCTTCGCCTTCTTCTTCGGCGACTAGATCGGAGCCGCACAAGGAGTCTACGGTATCGTCATCTCACTCCTACATAAATCTCTCAACTCAATCGGTCTTTGAGTTTCTCGAATTAGAAACTTTTCTTCTTACTATTATTGAGGCATTGACTATTCCCTGCTTGTGTTTGACTGAAGAGAACGAAATCTAAAAATTGTTTGTTTTCGCTTCTACTCGCTCGTTTCTGGATCTAGAGATTGCTGCATTGTTAGCTAAAAGTTTGTTTTTGGATGAGAAAACCATTTTGCTTCAAACGATAGTTTTTATTTCTTTCATTAAACAATCTGGAAAAAATGAATGTATAGGAACTTCATTTTTGATGTTTTTCTTCATGGTTTCTGCAAAAAAAAATGTGTTTGATTGTTAGATTGTTAGATATTTCAATTCTCAGATTTTCTCTGTCACACTGTAGACATCTCAGCCGGAGGAGAGAGGTCCAGCTTCTGAGGAAGTATCAGCAGTAATAGATTCGCTCAAGAAGAAACTTGCAGCTGATCGGTGTATATCAATAAAGGTCAAGACTGGTTATAGACTTATAGTTTTAATCTTTCATTTGTTACGTTTTTTCCGTTTCTGAATCTGATTTCTACAAGTTGTTGATGATTCGTTTTCACCAGAAAAGGATTGATGAAAACAAGAAAAAGTTGAGTGGCATTACTCACAGCTTCATGAGGTCGTCCATGGACAGAGGACGCAGCTGTCAAGATGGTGATGATCTCTTGGTTAAGAGGCAAAGAGATTCGCTCGGTATGAAAAGCGGAATCGATGCAAACGATGCAGATACGAATAAACAAAGCTTCTTAGAAGACGGAAATGCTAACTCGCCGATGGTTCAAGGGTCTAGTGTCCCTGTTAAAATATCCTTACGCCCAATCAAAATACCTGACATCAAACGTCTGTCGCCTTATACCACATGGGTTTTTCTGGATAGGTAATGACGCAAGAGTACTTGAAAGCATTCTAGTTGAAAACGCAATGTATCTCAAACATTTGAAATCACTGTTAAAATTAAATGATGCAGGAATCAAAGAATGACTGAGGACCAGTCTGTAGTGGGACGAAGGAGAATTTACTATGATCAAACTGGTGGGGAAGCACTCATTTGCAGTGATAGTGAAGAGGAAGTGATTGATGAGGAAGATGAAAAAAGAGATTTTCAGGCTCCTGAAGATTTTATCATTCGGTTGGTCCTTCATCATTAGTGTGAACCTCTTATCTGTTTATTCGTATGCATTTTTCATTCTTGGACTAAATTTCCCTTTCATTTCTTCAGCATGACCCTTGACAAACTAGGTATTTCAGACTCTGTCTTGGAGGAGCTAGCATGTTTCTTGTCCAGAAGTTCTACTGAAATCAAGGTATTGACAACTTTTTATTAGTCCATTTCCGGTATGAACCTATTATGTCCTATTTTCTTTTAGAATCCAGGACTTCAGTTGTAGGATATGAAAATCGAGTCAGTGTATGAATCGTTTAAGGAAATCCAATTAGTTTTGTTCGAGCCCTTTCCCAATTGGCCTTTTGCAGAGATATGAACACCGAACATCTTATACAGGCAAGATACGAAGTGCTTATGAAGGAGAAAGAAGTATCCGAGAGTGGCGATAATCAAGCAGAGAGCTCCCTTCTCAACAAAGACATGGAAGGAGCATTAGATTCTTTCGACAACCTCTTTTGCCGAAGATGCCTTGTTAGTCCATTTGATTTCTCAGGCTAAATTCTTGAAGGGTTATTACTTGATGTATACTGATTTCAACTTTGTTATGCGTCTACGCAGGTATTTGATTGCCGGCTGCACGGGTGTTCTCAGGATCTTATATTTCCTGTGAGTTAATGCCTAACTGATATATCTTATTATTACTTTATCGTTACTGATTTTTGTTTTGTGGATGTTTAGGCTGAGAAACCAGCTCCATGGACTCCTCCTGTAGATGAAAATCTAACCTGTGGCGCAAACTGCTATAAAACGGTAAATTTTGTGTTATTCACGTAGCTAAAGCTCATCTCCGAGAAACACTGACTTGACAAAAAGATCTGGTTTCATTCTTTCAGCTTCTCAAGTCCGAAAGAGTTCCGGGATATGGCACCATTGAAGATAAGACTGGCACTTCATCAGATGGTGCGGGTGCTAAGACCACATCGAAGAAGTTCTCTGGCAAACTTAATAGGAGAAAACCAAAGACATTACCAAGTGAAAGTGCCTCGTCTAATGAAAAGTGCACGCCAGATTCAAGTGACTCAGAGAACGGAGTTCAGCAGGATTCCGATAAAGTGTCATCATCACCAAAGGTGAAAGGTAGTGGGAGACGTGGAGGTCGTAAGAGGAGCAACAACCGAGTCGCTGAGCGAGTTCCTCGTAGGACTCAAAAGAGGCAAAAGAAGACAGAAGCCTCAGATACTGATTCCGTCGCCAGCGGAAGTCGTTCACAAAGCGATGCAAAACATAAAGAAAACGAAGATGCTACTTCCTCTTCTCAGAAGCATGTAAAATCTGGGAACTCTGGAAGATCAAGGAAGAATGACACTCCTGTTAAAGACTCCAAGAATGACGATCCTGTTTGTCAGTTGAATGAGGCTGCTTCCGAGCTAGAAGCACCGTGTAGCGATGAAAGCTTAAGGAAAGAAGAATTTGTGGGTGAAAATGTATGTCGAGGAGGATTTGCTGGAAATGTATCATGGAGACCGCTTGAGAAAAGCCTTTTCCAAAAAGGTGTTGAGATTTTTGGAATGAATAGGTGAGTACTAGATGCATTTAGCTTCTATGAAAAATATCATTTCTCAATCTGTGGGATATAGTCATATCAATTTGTTTGCTTCTTTTAACAGCTGCATGATTGCTAGAAACCTTTTGAGTGGTTTCAAGTCATGTTGGGAGGTCTTCCAATATATGACTTGCTCGGAAAACAAAGCTTCCTTCTTTGGAGGCGATGCATTGAATCCCGATGGCTCTTCCAAGTATGATATCAACGGAAATATGGTATAATACTGTTTCCTTTTTTACACACATTCCCTCCTAATATGATGGATCTATTTCTCTTGGGAACTAATGCATTACTTGTTGGATTAACCAGGCTAATAACCAAGTGAGGAGAAGATCAAGATTTCTTCGTAGAAGAGGCAAAGTGCGCCGCTTGAAGTATACTTGGAAGTCTGCTGCGTATCATTCGATTAGGAAAAGAATCACTGAGAGGAAAGACCAGCCTTGCCGTCAGTTTAATCCATGCAACTGCAAAACTGCTTGCGGGAAGGAATGTAGCTGTTTGCTAAACGGGACTTGCTGCGAGAAGTACTGCGGGTAATGTAGTAATCTAAGATCATCCACATCTGTATTTAGTAAACTAGCCTTGAATCTCATTACCAACAACATCTTTTTATTTTTCTGTGTAGTTGCCCAAAGAGCTGCAAGAATAGGTTTAGAGGTTGTCATTGTGCCAAGAGTCAGTGTCGTAGCCGTCAGTGTCCATGCTTCGCCGCAGATAGGGAATGCGATCCAGATGTTTGTAGGAACTGTTGGGTCATGTAAGTCTTATTGGCGAATGCAACTGTTTAGTCATTGGTTTTGTATACTAATCAAGAACACATTGCATTAATACTGTGTATGAAATGAATTTGAATATGCAGTGGTGGGGATGGTACGCTCGGGGTCCCTAGCCAAAGAGGCGATAATTATGAGTGCAGGAATATGAAACTACTCCTGAAACAACAACAAAGGGTTTGTAAACTAATAACTCTATTACTCTGCAATTGCTGCATAACGAGGAGGAGCCATCAAATGATTAAGAAATGAAATTGCATTTGTTGATTTCAGGTTTTACTTGGAAGATCTGATGTTTCTGGTTGGGGAGCTTTCTTAAAGGTAGAGTCGATGCAACTTATGTTAAGCGGTACTTTAAAGATGGAACTGTGTATGGAGTTTGGACTTTGCGTTTAAGAACAAATCTTGTTTCTTCTTCTTTACAGAACAGTGTAAGTAAGCACGAGTACCTCGGGGAATACACAGGAGAGCTCATCTCACATAAAGAAGCAGATAAACGCGGGAAGATATACGATCGAGAGAATTCATCTTTTCTCTTCAATCTAAATGATCAGGCAACGTCTCTTACTCTCTAGCTTGTTTGTTGTCTCTTCAAGATCAAATCTGCCATAAAACCATAAACTCTCTTTTTTCCTGCAGTTCGTGCTAGATGCTTACAGGAAAGGAGACAAACTGAAATTCGCCAATCATTCCCCTGAACCTAACTGTTACGCAAAGGTAAAAAAAATAAAAACAAAAGTTTAAAAGACACGGTTAAGATGGGATCAAAAAATCTTACTGGAGACTCTGTTATCTGTTTTAACAGGTGATTATGGTTGCTGGAGATCATAGAGTTGGGATATTTGCAAAGGAGAGGATATTAGCTGGAGAAGAACTGTTTTATGATTACCGGTATGAACCGGAGAGAGCTCCGGCTTGGGCGAGAAAACCGGAAGCTTCGGGTTCTAAGAAAGATGAGAATGCTGCACCTTCTGTTGGCAGACCCAAGAAGCTTGCTTAGTTGCAGAAACCAACATTGAATCCACACACAAAGAAAAAAAAAAGAAAAAGAAACAAAACACCATTCTTTTTGGGTTAATCCTTTTATGTTTTACAGGTGGAGAAACACATTTATTAATCTTTATTATCTTATCTCCAACACTTACAAATCCATACATTTTGCTTAGAGTCTAAAGAAAAGGTTTTTCTCGTCGGATTTTCATTTTCATTTCATGACAAGACACTTTAGTTACACTTTGATTTTTGTTGTTGCTTAAGATGCAAGAAATTTTAATTATTATTATCTTTCTGGAATATCATTGAATCGTATTGAGAATTTAAGACTTGGTTAGGGTTGGTAAATTACAGATGATAAGCTCAAAGCTATCCAAGGAAAGATGAAGATTTAGTCTGCTCTCCTCATTCTTCAATCATTTTAGTCTGCTCTCCTAACAGTGTCACATGATGTTTCAGTTTCACTATAAAACAAACTAAAATCCAATTTACCTCACAAATTAATTATATTTAATTAACAACAGAAAGCAGCCAAAAGAATCACAAAGATCACAAAACTATATGAACCATCAACATTAGAACTAGAGTATGCTGATATTGATAATTTGTCAATAAAACAAAAAACGATAAAAAAAAAAATATATGTTAAATTTCTATAATATTTAAAACAACATATAAAAGTGATACATATCTAAAGATTCTAGAAAAATCAGGATGCAATTCCTACCATCATACTTAACAAAGAAGCTGGTACATCATATCATGGTTTTGGATACAAAGGGATTGAAACAAAACTTGTAAAATATTGTTCAGGCATATTTCGAGGAGGCTGGGTTATATTACTGGATCTAGCGTCACTTGAAGGGACATGGGACGAGTCACTGGAACGGGTTGCTCAGTGCTACAAGGAAGCTGGACTTAGCGACATGGCCAACTTTGTTCTGTACAGAGATTGACAAGTCTCTTTTTAATGGTCACTGAATCAACAACAATAATGATATTTTCTTTTGAGACTTGAGATGACATGGCATTGAATTGGTGTTTCTACGTTGGAGATTTACATAAACACTGCTAAAGATTCATTGGGTCAAAGAGTACTGATTATATCCTTTTCGAGACTTAAAAGGTGAAATGAAACAGAATGAATCATGAGTCTCATTGGGTAATTTACATGGAGATTTATCTTTCAGTGTGGGACATTTTAGATCATATTCTCATATACTGCCAATTCACTTGATTTTGACATATATTTTTATTAAACGTTAAAAAAAGAATATATTCAGTTTGGAAAAAAAAAACTAAAACACTAATACAAAAATACAAATGAGAATACTATTTGAAAAAAAAAACAGAAATTAATATAAAAAATATTTCAATTTAGAAAAGGAAAATATACTAAAACGCTAATCTTAAAAGAAAAGAAAATACTAGTCACATTTAATAAACAGATAAAGTCTTTCATAATTTTTCACCAAACAAAATAATACTTATCGAGTTTCATTCTATAGGTATAGTTTTTCTTCTTTTATTGTATTCCAAATTTTTATTCATAATGATTCATTTGGTATTCCAAAATTTAATCACTTATGATTTGTTTGTTAAATATTGTATTCATAAAGTGTTTTTGGTATGTTACGAGAAAAGGAAATCTTAAATGCTAATTATATGGCATTAAATGATGATTAGCTCAATGAGGGAGGATCATCAAAAATCATGTAAGAGAAGCCTTTGATACGAGCCTTGAGAAGTATAACTTCTCTAAGAAGTAGAGAAATCATATACGTGAGATGAATGTGAAGAAAAAAAATTTTGTTTACTTCGAAAGAGTTAACATATTTGAAGGACTCGAATTGCATATCCAAGCTTTTAACGCAACTAAACAATAAAAATAGTTGATAAAATGTTTGCTAGATTAGGACCTGCATATACGCGGGTTTATAAATTTAAAAAAAAAATAGTTGATAAAGTGATAAATTGCAAGAGAAGTAATGTTAATATAGCTGTAGATGCTATATACACAACAAAAAAAATTGTAAAGCTCAGATATTTAGCCAATCATGCTTTACTTTCTTTAACAAAAATCACACCATCTACAACAAGTATCTATTTTTAAGTGCTGCAGACAGCAGAATTTCTACAGCTGAATTTTAAGAGATTTGGCTTGACATTTTCTCTTCCTTCCATATGATTCATTAGTTATTACTTTTTCTTTCCATTTATGTTATTTACATATTTTATTTCTGTTTTTATACTTTATATATTTATAAAAAAAAGTTACTTTAATATAATATATTCTACAGCAACAAATTTAAAATTACAGGAAAAAAACTTACAACCTAAATTATACAGACAAAATTTAAAGCTACAGCATCAACCAATCAAACCCTTAGTTGAAACTAATGAGAACTAAAATAAATAAAAAAACTCTGATTTCAATTTTGTGTTTTTAATATATATTTTTTCACCAGTAAGCCGGTTTTGTTTTCTAATATAGTTCTACTATAAAATCATAGTTAGGTAGATAGAGCTTACGGTGAATTTAAATAGTTACAGATAATTTTTTATTAATTTTTTTAGTTAAATGAATTCTAATTAAAATCTAGTGATTCAATTAAAATTAAATAATAAATATTGCTTACTATAGAAATAAATCTATAAATATAAAATAAAACCACCCCAAAATCCTACTTATAGAGAGCCATATATACTCGGTTTCTTCTTCCTTGGGAGATAAGATTTCAGCTTATAGTGAATTTCAGATTAATTTTTTTAGTTTAACTATGATCTTACTATCAACTGGGAATTGCAAATGATGGCCACGAAGAAACCTAAATTAAAGAAGAGGAAGATGAGTTTATCAAAGCACCTGACAAGCACATGACTAATTAATAAAAAGGAAATTCGATAATAGAATAGAAAATTAACTTTAATTAGAGGCTTATCAGATTTAGAGAGAATAGGCAATTTACCTTTTAGAATAATGTTAAGTCTTTAACTAATTATGTTTGGAGAAGCAGATATATTCTTTCGAACAATTTTAGTTTCTTTGCTCAAACATCAGAAAATTCTAACAACTGTATCACAATGACGATGATATCCAATCTTCCGCAGGATTTGGTAGAGGAAGTACTCTCTAGGGTTCCGCCGGCAGCTCTGAAACGGTTGCGACCTACTTGCAAACTATGGAACGCTTTATTCAAAGACGGAGGATTCCGCGAAAAGCACCGTCGTAAAGCTGAAAAGCAACCTCTCCTCCTCATGTTGAAGGATTTTAGGGTTTGTCCAATGAACGTGGAGATCGATGCTCCATCTATAGAGTTTAAGGAGGATGCACTTGACCTAAAGTTTTCACAACAACGGGTCGATATAGCCAAAGTCTTTCCCTGCGAGGGTTTGTTGTTATGCACCACCAGGTGCAATAGACTCGTTGTTTGGAATCCGTGTTTAGGGGAAACAATATGGATCAAACCCAAAACTGGTTATTACAAGAAACACTCGAGGTTTGCTCTAGGTTACCAAAGCAAGAACCAATCTTCATCCCGTAGCTACAAAATCTTAAGGTTTTGGGATAATCGCAACTTAAACGACCGAGTTGTTGAGGTTGAGATGTATAATTTTAGTACAAGATCATGGAGGGTTCTAGATGAAGACATGAATCAAGACTGCAAAAACATACGTCGAACTTGCCGCGGCGTGTCTTTTAAAGGAAACACTTATTGGGTTGCTTCAGATAGAGATCTCGAGGCTTCGTTCTTGCTCAGTTTTGATTTTACAAGAGAGAGATTCAGACGTTTGAATCTTCCTCCAGTTTCTACGTATGCGTTTGTTTTATCTCTTGTTAGAGAAGAACAGCAACTCTCTGCGTTACATCGGCGCATTCTTGAATCAAAGATGGAGCTGTGGGTGACCAATAATAGATTTGATTCTGATTCTGAAACTGAAACTGCATTGTTGTGGACCAAATCTCTTACAGTGGATTTATCTAATTCTGATACCGACTTACGTTTCCCGTATTTCTGGTCTTTTGTACTCCACGAGGAGAAGAAAGTGGCCGTCTTTTGCAGATCAAGTGATTGGTCTTGCAGCTGCAAGGTATCCATTACTGACGAGGATGAATATTGCTGCACACATGTCCCCTTTGTGAAATATACAAACAAATCATGGCACCCATTTATCTTCAGTTATGTTCCAAGTTTGGTTCAAATCCAGCAAGGTCCATAGAGACAAAAGCAATACAACTAGTCAGAGGAAAATAACTTCTTGCACCTCGTTTTATTCAGTTTTTGCTTCTTTTTTTATTCAGTTTTGACTTAATATTCTCTCTTTGATATCCAAGGTTTTGAATTAATATTGCTCTCTTAGAAGCTCGTGAGTGATATGAACCGATCTCTCTGGTTCATCGTCTCGAAATTTGTCTTAAACTCTTGAAATCCAAGTGCAGGATCTTGGAAGTTGGTTTTGACTCATTTTAATATCCGTTCATTTAATGTTAGGAATAAAACGGACTTTGGTTCTTCGTATACACTAGTAATAATAATCACATAAACTCACTGGATTTGGTAAAAAAAGGAATCTCAAAGGGTCGTTTCTTGGGTTTTCTTAATGACCCATTTTATTGTATTTAGTGCCAGCAGTTAATATATATGGATTGCTTGTGTTCCTTACCCTCATTGAGTAATTTTGCTTTCTTGTTTCATTTTTTTCTTCCTTCACATCTATCTCTGATTTGAGATGGCTAAAAGTTGTGGGGAGCACAGCAAGTTTTCTTTGAGACTTGTCGTCGATGAAGAGAAGAAGAAGGTTGTTTTGGCTGAGGCTTGTAGTGACTTTGTTGATGTGCTCTTTAGCCTTCTGACACTGCCAATGGGAACCATTGTCAGACTGCTTGAGAAGCATCGAAAATCTGAGATTGGTTGTCTTAGCAACCTCTATAAGAGTGTTGTGGAGATGGGCATTGATGATTTTGAGACTGAAGCATGTAAGCAGATGCTCCTTTATCCGAGGAGTCTGAGGGATGTCCAGTGTAAAAGGCTTAAGCTCAACTTACACCCTACTGACGGCGTCAAGATGTTTGCGTGCCACACTTGGAGAAGCTGTAATATGTGCAGTAATTTTAGCACTTCTCGATGTCCATGTGGAAAGTTGATGGAGAAGGCTATTCCGGTACGAGTAGGAGCAGAAGATGTAGACAAGATACAAAATGGAGTATTTGTGAGAGGCAGGTCTTCATTCATCATAACTGACGACTTAAAAGTGGCAGTTAGGTCCATTGACCTTGTCTTGACAGAGCTCAAATCAGTAGGTTGTGGTGATTTTAGTAAGGTTGGAGAAAGGCTTGTTGATATCGGTTTTGAAGAGGTATTATAAAGCTCTGCTTCTAATTAATCTTTATGCATTCCCTCTCACTATGATACCTTGATATTGATCTAGGTCATGACTCTGCTACAATGCTTCTAATTAATCTTTATGCATTCCCTCTCACTATGTTACCTTGATATTGATCTAGGTCATGACTCTGCTACAATGCATCTTCTCTTCAAATGCTCCCTTGACGGACACGTTCTTGAACAAGCGAAGCCCACGAGGTCTGTCGACGAAGACATGTGAAACGACAAGTACATACAAGGAGAGAAAAACAGAAGAAGTGATAACTGTGAGTGCTATCGTGAGGAAACATGAGACGAAGATCTTACACCTTGAGTGCGGTGAAGATTTTGTTGACCTTCTTTTCACTTTTCTTGCTCTTCCGCTGGAATCCGTGTTGGAAATCTCTGGTAACAGCTCCACTTTTGGGTGCATTGGAAATCTGTTCAAAAGCTTCAAGGAGTTGAGTGCTACACAAGTTTCAACATTCAAAGCCGTGATCCCGCATTACTATAAATGTCAGAAGCAGTTGCTCAATATCATCACTGAGCAACGTCCTTCCTGGAAGAGATTAGTTGATGGGGAACCTGTGGTTTTGATTGATCCAAAATCTGATGGAAACGACCAACCAACACAAGCAAGAGGGTTCGCCAAGAGAGACACAAAGTTTGCAGTATCAGATGATCTGGTCATTACGCCGATGAACTCCATCTCAACCTTTTGCTTCCTGAAGAAGTTGCAGGCTCAAGCTTCCGATCTGGAGGTGAAAGAAATAAGCATCACCAAAACAGAGGTATATACTATATGTATATCCTTTTTTATCAAGTAAAAACATTTAACGATCCTCCCAAAAATATTTCCTATTTTCTGTAATTAGGCTACAAGTTTATTGGAAGCTTCCTTGTTGACATCCTCTGCACTGAACGCTGCTTTATGGAACTTGATTGCCAAGAAACTGAAGGATGAGACCTGATAGAGCGATTCTAGCAATTCCACATTGTCCATCTTTTTATTGTTCTTTCTTTAGAAAGAAAAGTGTTTTATTATCTTGTTGCTTGCTAGCGTTATGTTTCCAGAGACTTTTTTTTTTCAATTACTTTGAGACTTGCAAATGTTTAGTTTTTGGATGAAATAGTTCGTTTAGCTTTTAATTAAAATGGGTTTATTTGAAATTTAAACAAATACGAATGAGTGCAGTTAGAATCCAGTTTTAATCTTTTAACAAACTTAAAGATTCAGTTTCTTGAAAATATGGGAGAAACTACTACATATTCAACATAATTAAAAGAAAAAGAAAAACACCATAGATTCAAGAATAAGTTTGTTGAATGTGATATTATAATTTTTATCTTATTAGCCGAGCCTTTTAGTCCATCATGGTTATTCAATCCATTATTTTCCATTTCTTCATCCAATAATAGATATATCTTTTGGATCTCCGGTGTGACGTGAGTTTCGAATCCACCGGAACTGTACCGTTGATATGAACACATATTGAAGCGGTGTCTTGTAAGCCAAGAAAAACAAATTACAAAAGCAAATTGAATCCCCTGAGACGACCAAATGAAGTTAGTTTGAGGTTAAAGATGAACCAAATGAAGTTTAAATGGGTTCAGATCTGTAGGAAATTTAGATCTGCAGTAGCGTAGCTGAACCAAATGATGATCATCACATGGGCTCGGGTTTTTACAATGGGTTTCCATGCAAAAGATATGGGCAAGAGTCCGTAATAGCTTAAATCCAAACCGAAGTAATCAGACCGGTGAAATGATAACATAAACCGGTTTTGGTATGACGTGGGTGATATTAAAATACCAAAATAGACACAATTATGTAATTTCAATTAAAAAAAAAGTAAAAAATACCAAAATAGACACAATTATAATTTATAAAATATTATTAGACGGATCTATTTCTAAAATTTTCTTTCATAAAGATTTATGTTCGACATTAGTATTTTATTTTAGGATCATTTATTCTAAATATAAATGTAGCTCTCTTCAAAATAAAAATTAATAATATTTGTATAAAATGAAAAAAAATAAGAATAATACAAATCAAAACATAGACCTCACTCATACTACCACATGCAAAAAGACAGCATGCATACGAGTCTTGGCATTCTAGAATGGCCAATCCATCACTTCTCTCCTTCCAATAATAACATTTTTTTGTGTCCAGAAAATACCTCGTAGTGAAAAGTCATGAGAGGTTTCATCATTGCAGAGACATGTCCAATATTTACTTTTATCTTGAGAGGTTTCATCATTGCAGAGACATGTCCAATATTTATTTTAATCTTGATGTAAATAGTTTCACTTTTTAAGGGTTATTTATTTCTTGGTGTTAAAATTATATATATATATATATATATATATATATATATATATAATCAATCATCTTGCAACGATAGTTGTGTTCTTTTTATGAAGTTATTGTGGTTAACTACGATTATATACATCATAAGTTCATAACAGTAAATAGCATTGGTAGATCTAAATTTGTTACACTCGGGATATTTTACAGGTTTTAAATTCAAAGAAACTAAAAAAGGTAAATTAAAAAGTTCAAAAAAAAATGTAAATTGAATTTGTATTGGGCTATAGGATTGTAACTCAAGCCCAAATATTGTGTATATATATATATATATATGTCATAAATATAGTTCGATAGAACTTCTTCTGCATATTATTCTATCATGGTATCAGAGCGGGTTTGAAAAACCTAATTTTGCTCACTTTCTTTACGGCGCTATCTCAAAATCACTCTGTTTCTTTTCATTCTTGATTTATCTTGTGAATTCCGATTTTGTTCTCTCAGATTTCTCTTCTTTGTAGCAAATCATGGGTGCTATTGTTCCTTCATCAAGTGATGATATTTTGTCTGATTTTTACCTGCATCCTTCAGCTGATCCAGGCCATCTGATTTGTACTGTCCTTCTTAATGGAGTCAATTATGAGCGTTGGTCCAAATTGATGCGTAATGCTCGCAAGGCGAAGAATAAATTGGGATTTATAGATGGCACAGTTACAAAACCCAGCCTCATGCTAAGAAGATTAAACTCTGGGGAATTGTTAACTCGATGTTAGTCGCTTGGATTCTCAACACGATTGAACCGAAACTTTGTGGTTCTATTTCATGTTCTGATACTGCTTTCGAGTTGTGGAAAAGCTTGCGTGGTCGTTTTTCTATTGGCAATGAACCGCGGGTTTATGAACTTGAGGCAGAGGTGGCTGCGTGCAAACAAGATGGCCAATCTGTTCAAGATTATTTTGGTCGTTTGAAGTTAAAAGTGGGATGACCTCGAAGAGTAGGATTCGATTTCTGATTGCTGTTGTGGTTTGTCTGACTGTGTTAAACAGTACTTGCAAAACGTCAACGTGCACGAAAATATCAGTTTATGAGGGTCTTGATAATGCGCGGTTTGGAACAACTCGTTCCAATATTCTCTGCATGACGCCGGCCCCCTCTCTTGACAGCACATTCTCCATGATTGTCCAAGAAGAACGTCATCAAAGTGTTGCTCGTCTCTCTGATGCTCGGGCCGAAGGTGTCGGTTTCTCAGCTCAGGCATCTCCTTCTTCTACTCGCAGTCGTCCTGCGTTTCAATGTACTCACTGTGGCAAATCGGGGCATGATGTCAGTCGATGTTATCAACTTCACGGGTTTCCTGAATCTAGTGGAGATAACTCTGGTCATGGTCGTGGCAGATCTAATTCTGGTGGTAATCATAGCCGTGGTGAGTACTCTAATTCTGGTGGAGGACATGGTCGTGGTAATGGTGCTAACTATGGTCGAGCTCACAACGCTCATCTCTTGGATAATCTGTCTTCTTCAGATGCACGCCGATCCATCACTGAGCAGGATCGTGTTGGTCTTCCGCTTAATGATGCTCAGTGGAATCAGCTTCTCAACTTGCTAAATAATACCAAACCCCCTGATGCATCAGCTCCAACCGGTCGTCTTTCTGGTATAGTTATCGACACGGATGCTTCTCATCATCTTACAGGCGATCTGTCATTATTATTTGATGTTTATGATATTGTACCTTATCCCATTGGCTTACCCAATGGCGAGGTCACCATGGCAACTTAACGAGGAAAATTGTGTCTTGGAGGATCCGTAACACTCTCTTTTGTGCTCTTTGTCCCTTACTTGACAAATACACTACTCTCTGTCGCTTGTTTGTTAAAAGAGAAGCCTTGTATTGTGATCTTCACTGATAAACTATGTTACTTGCAGGACCGGTATACAAGGATGCTGATTAGAGCAGGGGATGAGTGTGATGGGATCTACTACTTCCGGGAAATTGTTAAAGTTCAAGTCAATACAGTTTTGAAGCTTCAAGGGCGAGAGTTTTGGCACAAACGGTTGGGTCATCCTGCTATATCTGCACTTTCTAAGCTGTCTACTTTAATAGATTTTGGTGTTTCTAGTGATAGTTCTTCAGGGCCGTGTGACGTCTGTGTCCGGGCTAAACATTCACGGTTGTCTTTTTCTGAGAGTGATAATAAAGCATCTGTAATTTTTTCTCTAATTCATTGTGACGTATGGGGGCCATACAGTGTCTCCTCTATTTGTGGATCCAACTACTTTCTTACAATCGTCGATGACCACTCTCGTTCCATTTGGGTCTCGTTGATGCGATCCAAAAGTGAAGTTGCAGTATTTCTATAAAATTTTTGCGCAATGGTTGATAGATAATTTAACACCCAAGTACGTACCGTTCGGAGTGACAATGGATCCGAATTCGTTTGTCTGAAGTCTTATTTTGCATCTCACGGGATCGTTCATCAAACATCTTGTGTTGGGACGCCACAACAGAACGGTCGTGCTGAGAGAAAGCATCGACACATCCTCAATGTTGCATGTTCCTTGCGTTTTCAAGCAGAGCTACCTCTCGAGTTTTGGGGTGATTGCATTCTTACTGCTTGCTACCTTATTAACCGCACTCCCACTCCAGTTCTCGATGGAAAGACACCATATGAGGTCCTCTATGGTGCTTCTCCTTCTTTTGATCATATTCGCATGTTTGATTGTTTGTGTTACGCACACAAAGGCACAAAGGCTCGTAGTAAGTTTGATGAACGTGCCACTCATTGTGTCTTCTTGGGATATCCTTATCATCAAAAAGGGTGGAGAGTCTTTGATTTGGAGCTCCGAGAATACTTTGTTACTCGTGATGTTGTGTTTAATGAAGAGGTTTTTCCTTTCGCCACTCACATCTCTTCTGATTCGCCGTCATCTCCTCTGCCTCGGTCCGTTCTCACACCATTTGTTGATGATGTTCATGTTCCAGAACCTTCGTGCTCTGTGGATGTCTCCTTAAGGGAGAGTTCCCACAATTCTCCTGCTGTTGATTCACTTGTTTCTCCATCGTCAGGGCAGTTGATTGAATCATCCTCTCCTCTCCCTGTTTCTGAGTCTCCGTCTGCTTCTTCTCCTTCTTCTTCGGAAGTGGAGCATCTTCAGTCTACTGTCTCTGCTCCTCCGGTTGAGGAGTCTCGTGATATTACAGATCTTGATACTGCAAATGTTGCGGACCTTGGACGTGGCTTTCACGAAAAGACAAAGTCAGTTCTGCTTAGAGATTTTGTCACTTATTCAGCAACGATCCCATCTTCATCATCACACTCATCGCTCCAATCTCCTCCTCCCGGTCTATCAGGTACTTTCTATCTGATTGCCAACTACATGTGCTCAGCTAATTTTTCAGATACTTTCAAGGTTTTTTTGGCGAATGTCACTGCTTTCACCGAACCTCGATCCTTCAAAGATGCCATGGAGTTTGACGTTTGGCGTCAAGCAATGGGGTTCGAAATTACAGCTTTGGAAGACAACGACACTTGGGAACTTGTCGATTTACCGCCAGATAAAAGAGCTATTGGGTGCAAGTGGGTGTTTAAAATCAAGTTTAACTCTGACGGAACAATAGAGCGCTACAAAGCTCGACTTGTGGCCCTTGGCAATCGACAAGAAGAGGGCATTGATTATGATGAAACCTTCGCTCCAGTCATAAAAATGACCACTGTTAGAACCTTCTTCAATATAGTTGCATCTCGCAAATGGGAGCTTCACCAGATGGATGTTCATAATGCTTTCTTGCATGGTATTTTGGACGAAGAAGTCTATATGCGCCCTCCACCGGGTTTTGCTACTTCCGCCTCTAACAAGGTGTGTCGCTTGAAAAAGTCCCTTTACGGTTTACGCCAAGCACCGCGTTGTTGGTTTGCTACTCTTTAAACGGCTCTCTTGACCTATGGATTTCGGCAATCAACATCGGATTACTCTCTCTTCTCCCTTATCCGAGGCTCTACAGAAGTATACATTCTTGTTTACATTGATGATTTGATCATTGGTGGTAATGAATCCTCTGGTATTTCTGCCTTCAAGTCTTATCTCAGTAGTCAGTTTCACATGAAAGATTTGGGCTCTCCACGATACTTCTTGGGTCTTGAGATCGCTCGCAGTGATGAGGGTATATTTCTGTGTCAACGCAAATATTGTTTGGATATTGTTTCTGAGGCAGGTCTTCTTGGTTGCCGTCCTAACATCATTCCCATGGATCAAAACCATCGGCTTGGCCACTCTACAGATGATTCTTACGCTGATCCCTCCCAATACCGTCGTATTGTTGGTAAACTTATTTATCTCACCCTTACTCGTCCGGAGCTTTGTTATTCAGTTCATATTCTCTCTCAGTTTATGCATACACCGACTAACGCACACTGGGATGCTGCGTTGAAAGTTCTTCGTTACTTGAAAGGGACGCCTGGTCAAGGTGTTCTCTACAAAGTAGGTACGAATCTGATTCTTACGGGCTACTGCGACGCTGATTGGGCTGTTTGCCCTCGAACACGGCGTTCCTTACCAGGATATGTTTTCTTTCTTGGTGGATCACCTATCTCTTGGAAGACTACTAAACAAGACACTGTCTCTCTCTCTTCAGCCGAAGCCGAATATCGCTCGATGTCGTGGTCTACTAAAGAAGTTAAGTGGCTTAATGCTCTTTTGCAGTTCTTTGGCGTCACTCAATCTGGTCCTATCATGTTTCATTGTGACAACAAAGCTGCCATGCACATTGCCAATAATCCGGTCTTCCACGAAAGGACCAAACATATAGAGTCTGACTGTCATCATGTTCGTGATGCCATCCAAGATGGTCTTATCAAGCCTCAGTTTGTTCGTACTACAGAACAGATAGCCGATATCTTTACTAAAGCTTTAGGAAGTGTTCAATTTCGATATTTAATCTCCAAGTTGGGTATCTATAACTTGCATGCTCCAACTTGAAGGGGAGTATTGGGTTATACGATTGTAACCCAAGCCCAAATATTATGTATATATATGTATGTGTCATAAACATAATACGACAAAACTTCTTCCGTATACTATTCTATCAATTTGAAAACAATGATTACAAAATACAAATTATGGAGCTTAGTGTCCTTAATTTTGGCATATATGCAAAGACAAAATGACAAGATTTAGATTAAATCATCCAATTTGTAATTCCAAGGTAATTATTTAATGTCAAATATGAGCCAAACTCAAATTTCTGGTTAAGATATTTTTTTATTCATTAAATTGAATAGTTAGATTAAAATGAAATTTTTGTTTCAAGTGGTGTTTTCAGCTCTACCTATATACACGATAACGTGTTTCAAGTCAATTTTAACAAGGTTATGATGAGACTTTTTTTGGATTAAAAAAAAATCTTTTGGGTTATTTGATCAAGATTGGCATAGCCAAAACGTGTAAAAAGACTAGGATTTAGAGAAATTGAAGAATTCAATACAGCTCTCCTGGCTAAACAGAGTTGAAAACTCCTGAAATACAAAAACAATCTATTGGCTAAGGTCTTACTAGAAAAATACTGCAACAATAAAAGATTCATGGAAGTCGAGTGCGTACCTGGAACCTCCCATGACTGGAGAGGAATCATAGAAAGAAGATCCGTACTCCGAAAAAGGCTAGGCTAGGTTGTGAGCAATGTGAACAGCATGAATATCTGGAACGAGCCCTAACTCTCCACCACAACTCCTCAAACCCTTTATAGTCCACCTACAAAAGAGAATGCAAGTCTATTTACCTTACTATGAGGATAAGATCAGACAGATTATACCAAGCTCTAGAAAAAACAGGCAGAAAAATATATCCATTTTATATGATAATATTTCATAAAAAATGAAAAGCATGTTAAGAATTCTTCCTTCTAAATAATATTTCAGTGTTATATATAGAAAATTAAAATATTTTTTTCTGTCACACAATCGTATATCACCTACCATTCGATGTCACGATTAACGTTTGAAATATATAAAACAATTTATATAATTAATGTCGAATATAAGTGCAACGTAGAGCGTTTGCATGCATTTGCTTGATAACAAGTCAAACCATAAGTAATTAACAAACTATGTTAAAATCTTAAAATCATCTTAATTAATTGCCAAATGAAACCTAGTCAAAAAATCATTTGCATTCGAAAGCAGTAAATGATTTTTAAAAACGAAACCTAGTTAATATCCAATTAAAGGAAGGACTAGGTCAAAATTCAAAAGCAGAGTTTTGTTTATGTGGTTGTTGTCGTCTCTCTCTTTTCTTCTGCTTTGACCCACGAAACCAGTGTCCCCGTCCGTTCACTCTCTCCTAATCACACATATACACACACACACACACACACGAAGCCATTGAAGTCTGCAGATTAAACAACAATGGAGCCGAAAGAGAATGGGAATCAACCGGGTCGGGTCATCGATGGACCCACTAACCCGATGGTCACGCCTCTGCTCAACGATCTCTACCAATTCACCATGGCTTACGCTTATTGGAAAGCCGGCAAACACAACGAACGATCCGTGTACAAATTCTCATCACCCCTTTTCAAATTTTTTGAATTTTGTTTTTGAAAATTCTGATTGTTTTGTGTTTTTGTTCAGCTTCGATCTGTATTTTCGTAAGAACCCATTTGGTGGTGAGTATACTGTGTTTGCTGGATTAGAAGAGTGTATTAAGTTCCTCGCCAATTTCAAATTAACCGATGAAGAGATCGATTTCGTTCGTGATTCGTTACCTGGATCTGAGGTATCATCATCATCATCAGAAAACGATTTGTTGTTTTATTGAATTCGATTTCTTTTTCTTGTTTTTAAATCTGGGTTTCGTGTTTGTGAATCAAATTAGGAAGCTTTCTGCGATTATCTTAGAGGGCTTGATTGTTCTGGCGTTGAAGTTTATGCGATTCCCGAAGGATCAGTTGTTTTCCCGAAAGTACCTCTCATGAGAGTCGAAGGACCTGTTGGTGTGAGTCTCTTCTCTCTCTCTCTCACTCGTTTTCTTCTTTAGAAGATTTAAACATAAACAATGGTTTTCTTGAATGATTTTGATTGTTATCCATAGGTTGTTCAATTGTTGGAAACTCCGTTCCTCAATCTTGTCAATTTTGCATCTTTGGTAGCTACAAACGCAGCAAGACACCGGTTTGTTGCCGGGAAATCTAAGATCCTGCTCGAGTTTGGTGCTCGGAGAGCTCAGGTTTTCTATAACTCTTGTCTCTTGTTTGATTTACGAATTTTGAATCTTCTTAACACGTTTCGTCTGATGTTCTTAGTTTTGGTATCTTAGGGACCGGACGGCGCAATAAGCGCATCGAAATATTGCTACCTTGGAGGCTTTGATGCAACAAGGCAAGTCTTGCTATTTGTGTGTTTTGGATCTTTGTTTGTTTGTTAATGTAACAGTGAATTTGGAAATGATATGCTTTGTGTTTCTTGTGTATTGCTAATGGCAGCAATGTAGCAGCTGGGAAACTTTTTGGGATACCTCTCCGTGGAACACACTCTCATGCTTTTGTTAGCTCATTCATGGTTAGTTCACTTCAACCATAAAAATTCAATTTTTATGTGGAGCTTGTACAATTTTAGCTAAGCTCATTAGAATACTTACTTGAGATGGCAAGTAAGGGGTGATAACACGAAGTTTCCTGAATATAAGTAGTTCTTGTTAATCTGCGAATTGCTAGGAAAAGATTCTGAGTTATAACTTTATCAGCTATGGCTCTGATATACACTTGTTCGTAAATATTACTAGCAATTTCGATATAATTACGTTACCGTTGGTTTGCAGAGCACTGATGAGATTGTTGACAAAGTGCTTCGCAGTGCTGATGGGACAACCACGTGTGAGGATTTTGTCAGTCTGGTTCAGACATGGTTAACAAAGATTCAGGTTTTCTAGTGAAATCTAGATTATTGTTCTGTCTTTGCTTCAACCCTTTATATCTTTGTCGCAGCTGCTTTGCTTATTTTTTTGTTTCCTTGTCCATAACAGTATTCGCCGTCTCTACGTGGCATTTTCTCCGAGACAAATCAAAGCGAGCTAGTAGCTTTCACATCATATGCACTGGCATTCCCCAAAGCGTTTCTTGCCCTTGTAGATACATATGATGTGAGTTGAAAACACCGTAATAGCTTCTCTGAGCCAGGATTATTAATTCTTTGTTGCTCATGCTACAGAGTAATTAGTGCTATTGTCAACGGTCTTACAGGTGATGAAGAGTGGAATCCCTAACTTCTGCGCAGTTGCTTTAGCACTCAATGACTTTGGGTGTGTAAGAATCTCTTGTCAATACCCTATCTTTTGACATTAATGGCTGCATTGCAACTTTGTTCTTCTTTTGGCACATATGGAATCTTAGATGTTTGATGATGTTGTTGATGTGCAGATATAAAGCATTAGGTATTAGACTGGATTCAGGTGACTTAGCATATCTATCTACAGAGTGCAGGAACTTCTTCTGCACAGTAGAGAGAGAACTAAAAGTGCCTGGTTTTGGGAAGATGATTGTCACAGCTAGTAATGATCTAAATGAAGAAACGATCGACGCTTTAAATAAACAGGTGATTCCCTAAACCTCACTCTCAAATTGCCCCATAAGATATCATTTTCATTAAGCATGTGTTATTTATCTCTGCAGGGACATGAGGTTGATGCTTTCGGTATTGGAACGTACTTAGTCACTTGCTATGCGCAAGCTGCTTTGGGTTGCGTTTTCAAACTTGTGGAGATAAACAATCAGCCTCGGATCAAACTTTCTGAAGATGTTACAAAGGTTAAAACTCCCTCCCTCTCTCTCTCTCTCTCGGGTTTATGATCATTTAATGTTAACATTCCACTTATTTTGATGATCATTCTGATTTCTTCAGGTATCGATACCGTGTAAGAAGCGAAGTTACAGGCTTTACGGGAAAGAAGGTTACCCTCTTGTTGATATAATGACAGGAGAGAACGAACCAGCTCCAAAGGTAAACGAAAAGAAAAGCTCTCTCCAAAGATCTTTAATCCCATTGCCTTACATGATTGTTATTTCTGGATCTTAAAGGTTGGTGAGCGTTTACTATGTCGTCATCCTTTTAATGAATCCAAAAGAGCATATGTAGTGCCACAACGTGTTGAAGAGCTACTCAAATGTTATTGGCGTGGAAATGCAGGTAAATAATTTTTCATTACTGTGTAAAGCCATGATGCATTATTATAAGTTTTAATACTGATTCTGCTTGTGTCTGTGATGAAGATGAAGCAAGAGAAGAGTTACCGCCATTGAAAGAGATAAGAGACCGTTGCATCAAACAGCTTGAGAACATGCGACCTGATCATATGAGGAGATTAAACCCAACTCCTTACAAGGTTTGATTCTCTCCTACAAACTGTTCCAGTTTTCTTGAGAACTCTGTGTAAATGTGTTTCTGTACTGGTTTCAGGTTAGTGTGAGTGCGAAGCTGTACGATTTCATCCACTTCCTATGGCTCAACGAAGCACCTGTTGGTGAATTACAGTGAACCAAAAAGAAGAAGAAGAAGAGGAAAATATTGTTTTGGTTGGAGTAATGTATATATTACACATACCACAGCATCATAATTTGCAACAAGAGTTTTTTCGCTTAGTTTTTTTTTTGTTTTTCTCTCACAGTATTTGATTGATAATCTATTTGATTGTGGTATTCTCATATTTTCTTGTTGTAGTATGAATCAATTTCTTACAGATAAATTAAACCTTTTGTGGTTATCAGAACAAATGATTAAGAGAGATTATCAATAAATTAAACCTTCTGTATGAAGTCGTTTTGACTGATTCAATAAGATTTTAGTGGTTGAAATGAAAATAACATACTTCAAAGGTTGAAACATATTTTAACCGCAGTAAAATAAAATAGCATGCTATAACCGAACGCTCAAGCCTAGTATCAACGACATTGACTTTGGTCTGCAAATAGCCGTGGCTTGGAGGGCAGGGCATTGGGCTGCCTAAATTTATATTATAACTTTTGAACATTTTATAATATACATTTTCTTATAAATTTTATTATATATGTTTATGTTTTTTCCTTCCATGACTAGTTATGAGTAGCTCCATATCCTGGGTAGGGTTTTTGTTTGCTGAAAGTTGAATTTATTGAGATAAAAATAAAAAAAGTAAACAAAAGGTTAGGGTTTATATGTTGATTGTCTAGACGATTTGGCCAAATGGTCCATGAGCAGAGTTTTGTTTTCAAGTCTCCGGACATTTGGTCTAATTACGAAATGATCCAAAAAATGATGTTATTAACTCAAATTTCACTTACCATGTATATCCTAATTTCCTAACTTGTATATGTGTTTTTTCTTCAGTACAATAATGTGATTTTTACCCCTTTATACAAATCTAAAGTTTTTTCTTATACTATAATATTGTAGACATGTTTTAACAATACTACATCCATTATTCACTATAGATATATATTTAATAATTTTCATATATATTAAGAAAATATTTAAATTTCTATTATACCATTAGTTAACACATTTATAAGTTTGTTTGTAAACTGAGATACTAATATAGAAAATTGATGTTTAAAATAAATTTATAATGAAAATTCAAAACAACTTCTCAATGAAACAGACAGAGTTTTGCAACCGACACTTATTATCAACTTTAACAAGAACAAAAGAAACCGACACTTATTATCAAACAAAAGTAGGATTTTTAAGTTGTTTGTTTAAGAAAATCAAAGTTGTTGTATTGAAATTTGGTTGGTCTCGAACTCAATGTTAATTAAAAAATTAACGGTTGGTATGGTTGATATATGGTTGGTATGGTTTGGTGCATAAAAAGAGTAGTTAAAAACTTAAAATGTCGATTAGTGAATTAAAAAAACATTAGCTAATTCAATTATATTTTAGTAGAATGATCCAAACAATTAATTCAATAATATTTTAGTAGAATGATCCAAACAATCTTATTCAAGCGTTTGAGGCGTTTAAAACACACCTCAAAACGCACAGAACGACCAAAACGCCTAAAACGCAAAACGCACTGTGAGTTTTTTGGATGAACATTGAAATGAGAGGACAAAAGTGAGTGGGGATACCGAAATCTACTGTCCACAAAACAAAACTGTACAGAGAGAGAGAGAAGAGGAAGAGTTTAAGCAAAAAGACACGACTTTTCTGGGTTATCTTTTCACTTTTGCAGAAAAACAAAATCTGTTAAGAAAACCCAAAAAAAGCTTTATTTTCTGTGCATTTTCGTACTTTTAAAACATTCTGCTACAAATCTTTCCACAAAGCTTCTATTTTGGAATATTAAAAAAAAACTATTATCTCAAAATTAAAAAAAAACTAAAAAGCTACTAATTAAACGTACGCTTCTTCTTCTTCTTCTTCCTCTAGCTTCTTCTTCTTCCTCATTACTCTGATATTTTAACCCACTCGTAACGTCCTTCTAATGGCTTCTCCTTCGCGAAATCGAAGTTATACCTAATGAACAAAACAAAAAAAAAAACTTCTCTTTAGTTGCAAAATCGAAGTTAAAAAAACGTTAATCTAACAAAAAATTAAAACTTTACTTCTTCTTGAATTTATCCTGGAGGTGTTTCTCTGCTTCCACGAAGAACTCTTCAATCTCCAATTCCGTTGGCTGCTCCGTCGTCGATTTCTCCATCTCCTCCGTCGTAGACGAAGCTCTTCTCCCGCTGCAACAACAATCCGACGATTCTTTGATTTGAGAACCAAAATCGGCTTTAATCTCCGGTGACTTCTCCATTGATTTGGTCGACTCTTCTTTCTCTCTGAGGTTCTCAAATAGCTTCCGCTTCGTATTTCTGAGGAAAGAAAAGGAAACGGAATAAATAAATAAATAAAAACTTTAGGAACCGGGAAAATAATTAAAACCTTCAAATTTCAAATGATTTTGCAACATTTACTGACCGTCGATACGTCGACGTTTCAGTGTCACCGTCTCTTTCCTCCTGCAACAACAAAAACATCAATGAAAAAAATTTCAAATTTTCAAAAAAAATAAGAAAAAACAAAAAACGAAGATCCGTAGCTTTAAATTCACATTTAATAAAATTCTGTGGAGATATTTAATGATTGACATCTACAGTTACAAGAATCTAGAATCCGTAATTAATGAAAAATCACCTCCAGATCTATAAATCCATTGTTCTTAATATACTCGTTGCTCGCGCAACAAGACGACGACGAAACTCCATTGTTATCGACGACGGTGACGGTGACGACGGAGCTAGAGTTTTCCGATCTAACGATTCTCCGGCTACGAAGCTGCATATACGTAGACGAAACCCCGATTCCGTCTTTCGCACTTACACAACGACCTTCCACAATCCCTTTAGCTTTTCTGTATTTTCTCACCATTGTTAGATTCTGTTGCGTGTTCCTGAAGCTAAAAAATCTCAGAGAGAGAGAAGATGATTAAGGTTGAGGAAGACGAAAGAGAGACGGAGAAGAAGAAGATGATGTAGTTTTAGCTTTAACGGTCAGGATTGAGTTTTGAGAAATCCAGAAATGGCGTGTTTTTGTGGTCCCGTTACAGTGACGGGGAATCTTCGACGGGGAAACTGAAGGCGCCGTTATTTGGATCGAATGATGTTGAGTAGATCGAGTGACACGGGTCGGTTATTGACGGTGACTTAACGGAACGGGAGAAGGGGGCGTAATAATTGTGGTGTAACTACTAACTGCTTTATAAACCCTCCCATCTATCGCTAAATCACATTTTTGCCATTACGCGGACCAAAAATATAAAAATGTGATTTGATGGAGAAAATTGTTAATTAGTTTATTATTACTACTTTAGTTGATGATGTTGAATTGTTGATGGTATGGTTTGTATGACACATAATATCTCATTAATTTCTGGGTCATTTTACAAACTTACATTCACGCTTAAAGTGATCTGACGGCACTTCGTATGGTGACTATGATGATGATGACATATAAAAAAAAATTAGTTAAAAAGTTGATTGGTTGGTGAAGTTTAAAATCCGGATTATGATGAAAATTATCACAGTAACTATGGATGTACATCTAGTTTAAGAATAGGGTCTACTAGAGTTTTGATTTTTTCTGTTTTCATTTTATGAAAATTCTTATATCTATCATTAATTTGAAGAAATTAAAAATAGTAAAATTTTAATAAGCATTCTTCTATTTTACTAAATAACTATTTTAATAGTATGTGTGTTTAGTCTATTCCGCTTATTATGTACTTTTCAGTTTCTATTTAACACTACTTATTTTGCTATTTAACATATCATAAGTTAATGCTGACATCCACACTGAAAAAACAGTTTCCACAATGGCATAACATGTTCATTATAAATGATGGGAACGATGGTGATGATACTCCCTCTGTTTTTTATTAGAAAATGTTTTAGAGATTTACATATAGATTTTTTATTAAAAAATTTGTATACAGTTTAAAAAATTATTTAATTTTTTTTAAAAAAAAACATATTTTTTATCAGTCCCAAAACAGTTCAACCAATGAAAAAATAGAATTCAGAATTCAAACAGCCAAAACAATAAAAATACAATTAACTTTTATATAAAAATTTGAGAATATCAACTATTTTTGAACAAAAAATAATCTCTAAAACACTTTAAAAAAAACAGAGAGAGTATTAATTTAGAATAAATAGTGAATAAGGTCAGGTTCTTGACATGTGCGTTAGAATGATTATAACAATATAAATGGAGGTACTATGTAGTTACGTTCAACTTCCAAATTAGTTAGGTACATAAATTTATGTATTATATGTTCGTAGCGATCTCTATAGTACCTAGAAAAAAATCAGATATCAGGTCAAATCATTGCATTAAACTATAATACTACGTATATCTATTCGAAATAAACGTCTGCTTATCGAATGTGGTTGAGGACCATATACATAATACATTAGGTTGTTCAATCAAGGTTAGTAAGACTTAACAATGTAACTGTGGAAATATTTAACTTTTGACTCCATTATTCTCCATTGTTTGTTTTCTCGGAAGAATCAACCAATAAATTTACAAACATCCATTTGCATTAAATGAAAAGTTTAAGCTTTTGATATTTTAATTATTGCATGGCATGACGTATCGAGCTCGTGTTCATGTTTCCGAATAAACAATGATCAATAAATCACATATTGTATCTGGGGATTGAAGATGAATCTTCTAATATTGAATCTCGATCTGTCTCTTGATGTCACCTAAGATACTTCGTTGACTTATGCCAGCTCTTATTATAGTTCACAAAATAAAGCTTTCTTCGTTAGTTTGTAAAGACAAATATATTAATTAGTATATTCGTTAAAAACAAGTTTACACATTGATTCTTCATTATACAAAACAGATCATTAGATCACGACAGTGCATAGTCGAAGCATCGTGCGATATTTTTTTTTAATTTTTTTATGGCTAATTAATTTAAAATGGTGTTATAGTTGTTATCATAGATCCGAATAGCCTACTGCCTTAAGTGTTCCGAATCTGTGGTTTGACCAATCCATCAGTAGAAAATACCAAAAGATTCGAAACAATTGAAAATGTGACTTCAGTTTCTTTAAGCGATCAAAATATAATATAAAAGTAAAAAATATATATTAGCGAAATTTGTTTACAAAACTAAAGGTAATCACCATTTGAGTGATAAGCTGTGAGAACACGACCCTAAGAAATTTATCGTTAGTAATTTTCTAGTACAGTCACCAATTGAAGGAAGTGTTATTTTATAAAAACAATTTTTTTTAAAAGAATATGCTTCAGACCAAAGTGAGGGCAACTTAGTTGTACAATGAGGCTGGTTCTTTTATGCCATGCATTCAACTTTTGGAATTGAAATATATATTTTAAAACGGAATATAGAAAAAAACTAACTCTGTATACTGTCGAGAGGTTATAAACCAATAGTCCAGAACTTTTACAATTAATTCAAAAAAAAAAGTTTCAGAATTTCACTACTTTCCCATCACCTATCATAAAAATATATAAAGTACTTTTTAGTTTTTTTTGGTTTCAATAAGATATTTTTTTTTTCTCTCTTCATATTAAACAATAGCAATGGGTCAAAATGACAGATTAGTCTTGAAAACAAAAGTCAATCAAGCTAATTCAACTTTTATAAATAAAATTTGACTAGAAAACGTCAATAGTGTACTCTTACGATGTCAAAATAATAATTTTGGTAAAACTATTTAACTTATCCTCATTAAAATGAAACATACTATAACTTTTTTCTTAAGTATCTTTTCTGATAAAATATGTAGCCTAATGAATCAAATTTTGCTTTATCCAAATGATTGTTCGTCAAGACTGACATTATGATGGGAATGATGGTAATTCCAAGGATAATTATGAACGAGAGAAATGCAATAAATCTATTAAAACCCATTTCTCGCTTCTTCCCACACGACGGTCGTAGTTCGATCAACTAACTATTTGATTGAGTTTGTACATTCTAAACCTTATCATATAGCTAGATTATCGAATTATCTTTATCCATTAACAAATTATAAAAGTACTATGCGGCATGCGCATTACAGCTCGAAATGTGATGTTAGAAACTTAGAAATATGTTAGTCGTCTAGTGGTTAGGATTTATTTAGGTTTAAAGAATCCCTCCAATTTTGATCGATTGTGATAATCATATAAGGGGTTGGATGATTGGATCGTACTTATAAAAGCGAAAATAAATGTAAATGTATAATAAATAAAAAGTAGGTATATAAAATGTTAAACTGCAAATGCAAAGAAAGAGAAAAAAAAACTCTTGCTAAAATGCAGAAGCAATAAAAACCTGTAAGAGTTTACAGTAAGGACAAAATAAGAAGCTGACGGTTAAACGAAGATGAAACTCACATTTCAAAAGACAGCTATATACCCACATGTTGGTCGTTGCTTTCCTTGAGTAGTTGTTTTCTTAACTACTACAAATTGTTTACTGAAACGGTAGATGTAAAAACTAGGACATGTCTTCGAGTAAAATTATATCTATAAATAGAAAAGGACAGAATATTTGTATTGCATGTCTCGGCTTGGACCTCAAAGAGCTGGTTAGTAGCGATTTTGAACTTTTCGTTCTTATCAACCACCTCGTTCTCGAAATCGGCAATGTGAGCCTGCTGGTCTCTGAATTACTTGAGGAGGTTAGCCTGGCTAGCGACCTGCGCATTCGCGGTTTCAAGATCTGACTTCAGCTTGTCGACTATCCTTCTTATCTCCTTGATCTCTCCTAGATGAAGGCATCCCGCAGCCTCTGCTAAGAAGAGCATAGAACCGATTCCCAGCCTTCGCAACCTACGAACATCAACAGCTAAAACGTTAAGACAAACATCATTTAACCAAAAAATACAAAGAAAAAGGGGACACTCTTTACCTTTCTCTGAGCCACCACCATCTCCACGTAGAGCTCTCTCTCGGTCATCTTCTTGAGAGCAGGAAGTTGGCACTCAGCGGGCTTGAAGTGACACCACATGGCCGCCATGCCCTCATAATCATTCGTGATTGGATGATCCTTGGTGTGCTCAAACTTCCAGTGGAACAGCTGGCCACCCGTCGAGCCACCGCTCCCGTTAGACGCCGAGAGACGTGCCTCTGTAGCCCGACTTCCCATGCGTCTCTTGGCCTCTTGGAGGCAGGTTGGGACGAGTGCTCGAGCTCCTGGTCGTCAACGGAGCGCTGGTTCTTGCCCGAGCTAATGAAGATCGCCCCCACTAATCGAGGAGGGGGGTTAGCCTGAAGGTTCATCATCTGCTCGACCTCCTCATTACGGAGATGAGCCATGTGAGCAGCAGTCGAGGCAAGCGCGGCTTCGAAGGCCTCCTTGACACTCTCGGAGCGTACCATGGAGCTGCTGGGACCAGTCAGAGCTTTCCCGGATCTCTGACAGACGGTCGGTTTGCAAGATATGGCAGAACTTGAGCTTGCTGAACTGGAAGCCGAAAGAGAACGGAGTGGAAGGACTCCAGCTGCCAGCAAAACAACTCACTACATATTCACTTCACCGGGATCCAGTAAGCAAAGGTCGTAAGCACTAGCTCGATGGAAAAACTTACCAGGTGCGACAACCGGAGCCGGAATAGGTGAAGTGAGAACTCATTGAACTCATTCTCATGTAAACATGCTCCAGACGACTTCTCCTCACCTGAATAATCCCAACCGGTGCTCTGGATAGCTGACCTGATAGAACAAAATGAACAGAAGTCATAAAACCAGTCACGCGAAACAAGATAAACATATCTAGCAAACGCTTAAGCCTAGCTAAACAACCTCTGCCCACGAACTCGGTCGGCAGCCGGGTAAAGTTGAAGCCCTCGACGGACGCCTCGTTGACTCTAAATTTGAACCTGGTCTTCTCCCAACCGGAGTCCTTCTCCGGGCTCTCCTTGATGAACCGCCGGTTTGATCTTGAGGATGCGTAGAAAGTCCCAGGACGGCGAGCATTGTATTTAAAGGAGAAGAACGCCCTCAGGTCCGAGTAGCGAAAGCTAACGGCCTCCTATAGGCCCCGCAAGGCACATCCGATGATGGCCCGAACCAGATTCGAGCACATC